CCCTGGAGACACAGTGGGCTGTGCAGAGCCTCCACACTGGATGGGAGTGGTACGAGAATTTCCTGTATTTAGAAAAAAGAAAATACTAATGGTCTACAGTGTCCTCTCAGTTGTTTGTCACTTTCTCTTGGGTTTTCAACATGGAACTACAGGAAGCTAATTCCTGACTGTCTTGCGCATCGTCTAGAGCGCTCTTGCACGACTGTAGTCCGCAGTTCCATGCTCATTGTTTCTCAGCCTCTTGTTTGGGAGTGGAAGGTTGCCAGAGCCATTTGCAGCTCTAAGTTTTTTAAGCTTGGAGCCTTTGCCTAATACAAACCCAAAGGATTGGGAGTTTTTGGACCCTGTCGATCCCAAGGGAGTGAGAAGCTGAGATCTGCTTCCAAGCAGGCTTTTCACAGTGTCAGGATTTTTTTTTTTTTTTTTTTTTTTTAAAGCAGAGATAGTTAAGGTGGTGCACAGTGTGCTGTTTGTGTCACTAGATTGTTGGCTGTCTGAGGTTAGGTTGATGGTGTTGCTTTCCTTTTATTCACGGTGTCAGCTGCTCCCTGTGACGCTGTCATTCAGGAGGACTGTCAGAGAGTAAAGTATAAAGCCATACATACCATGACTCAGAGTCTCAGTTGCATAGTTTTATTTTTCAACATAGGAGTCTTAAAATTTAGCAGCCTCGAATGCATGAACTGTAGTCACTGAATGTTGTAGCACAGAAGGTTTCTGGTGATTCAGGAGCCAGTGGAGAAGTTCTGAAGTCGGCCAAAAATGGGAGAGGAGCTGAAGGTCACATACAGATGCATGTATCTTCAGGAGGTTTTTGCATTTAATGCAACTTAACTCATTGGCTATGTGCTAATTAATGCCTTGCATACGTTGTGTGTTTCATTTATATGAAAAGTCTATTATTTGCAGCAGAAAATAGAGACAACATGCTTTCCAAAATGCGGGAGGTATGCAGCCAGACACAGTTATGCAAGTCGACAGAGTGGAACTCCTCAGTTCTGTTTGCTAAATAAACGCCTCCCCGCTCAGTCTCAGCATGCAGTTGCTATGTGTGTACATCATTTAAGTGCGAGTGTGTTAGGAGCTCAGACAGCAGGTGTCTTATGGGAGTGGCTTTAAGTTTATATTTCAGTTCTGAATAAGAGGTAGAGATTGTTGTTTTCTGATGTTTGTAATTAATTATCCCATGATTAAAATATTGCATACTTGATGCACATCTTCAACCCCACTTACAGGTTTTTATACTAACCAATCCATGTAAATATATGTTACATAGGCAGTTAGTATAATTACATAAAGATGTAATTAGATCTATAAATATGAGTGTGTAAGAAAGAGTATAATAAGTAAAAGAAAAATACATAAATGATTTGTTGAAAGTGAGATTTTTGTTTACTACCCAGCTACTTCCAGTATTGGTGGAACTGTATCTTTTTCTTCTTTTTTAGTACCAGGGATTGAACTCAGGATCTTGCGCTTGCCAGGCAGACACTATGCTGCTGAGCTATCTCCCTGGGCCCTAGATTGTAACTTTAAAAGAAACATCTTAAAGTCGTTTAATTTGTTAGAGACATGGGCGTGACTTAGAAATGAGCGACTGTGATTCTTTCCTGGTTGCACTGCTAGGTCAGTGGGTCCAGGATCTGACTCTGACCCACATGACCTCTGCAGGCCAGTTCCAGGGGGAGAGGAGCGTACCTGTGGCTTGAGAAGCACGTGGGTCTGGTAGTAGGGTGGCTGCTGCAAGTCAGTTTTCTAAGTGTGAAGCATTAGAAATGTAAAATAGAACAGAAAACGGAGTAAGGTAGTATGTCCCACTTTAAAACTCAAAGGATGCACAACGCAGTTGGAAATATTAAGGTGCATTTTTCCCAAAATAGTCTCCAGACTTGCTTTACTGTTTCAGAATGGGGTAGGATACTAGAAAATGAAGTCTGTAACTGCATAGAAGAATGAGTTTATTGAAGACAATACACACCAAACGCCACTTGAGAGAGAAAACAGTGATCTTGTGGTCTTTCCTCACCAGCAGCCCAGGCTCTGCCAGCTGCACAGCGTCCCTTTCTGCTTCCTTTGGGAAGAGGGAGGCATGAGGCCAGCACAGTCCACACGTTGTCCAAGGCAGCAGTTCATGTCTTCTCCTCTCGCTTCCCAATTGCTACAGAATATTGTCACGCTTTAAGAGAATGTTCCTCATGTTGCTATGTGAACATTCTTTTTCCTATAGCCGTGCTCTTCATCTGTAGCCTTGGTATGACATGATATAATGCACTTTTGTTCAAATGAAAAACAATACAATCATGAAAAGCCAAATGTGTAAGAGTAAACATAGCAACTAAAGTTTTACTCATGTTCTGAGCTTATCACTAAGCTCATCAAAACATATTTGGAAAATCTTTGAAGGTTTATGTCTATGAAATTGTTTCTTGGCTTAATTAAACAGATTGCATTATTGGTTTGTGAGAGTGTTTTTCTTAAGGGAAGATAGGCTGCATTTGTCTGGTTTTAGCACTCAAATGTTACTTTTTTGAAGTTATAATATGAAACTCAGTCATTTAAGGCAGTGTAGGTACTGCATAACTTACTAATGTTGCATGGTGCTTAGAACTAATAGGAAAATGCATTTAAGTAAAACAGTAAATTTATGTCTCAGAATAAAGATAGTTGGACTGTACTGGTGCTGTTACCACTTTGGTTTGCAAGCACTTCGGCTGCATTAAACATACTGCTATTATTTAACATGAACTGTTAGGTTTTTAGGTCTCCAAAGTAGGCTGTATGTGGGCCAACTAAAAAAGGCCACAAACCAACATATATTTATAGTCTCAGAAGGTGACCACCTTAAAAGTTAAATAGTAGCAATAATAATGGATTAGCCTGTAATACTAGCACTTGAGAGACTGAGGTAGGAGAATTGCTATAAGTTTGAGGTCATACTGGGCTACATAACTGAGTTCAAGACCAACCTGCATTATATAGCCAGATCCTGTCTCAAAAAAAATTTTAGTCTTGCTATGTGAAGTGCTATTTTCCAAGCATGATCTCTTGTGGTCATTATAACTGTCCTGTAAACTAGAATAGTAGTACAGTGTGTGATGTATTAATGTTGTTGCTGCTGTTTTATAGGTACTTACAGAAACTTGGAGAGCTTAAGCAACTTACCTTTTCCATATAGCAAAAATTTAATCAGTAGTCTGAGAAGAAGATATCTCATCATTGTTAAAAAAGTAAGACCTAATTTGAATCAGGACACATGCAGGAAAATAGAAACACATTCTAGGTCTTTCCATAATGATTGGTGCTTATGAAACTTAAAACAAAAGTTTAAGTAAATGGTCATTGACTGGGCTTGATTAGACCACCAGACTTGTAGAGTAGATGTCTACAGAGGCAATGCTGAGATTTCAAGTTACCTGTAGATATGGGTTGCTCTTGTCAGTATACCCTTGTTTTTTCTGCCCAATTGTAAGATCTTAAAGTCATTCTCTCTCACTCCTCAGATTGCATCTATTTGATTTAATAGATAATTTGCTTTGATAAACACTCAAACTCTTTTTCCTGGCTTTCTGTTCCTTACACTAACTTTTTATAACGAAGAGCAAGTTTGTATCAACTTCGCCTGACTTCTTACTGCTAACTGATCTTTAACAATCTTGGAAAGGCCTTTACTGAATACTCTGAATTCTTGAATTCTATTTGTTGATGCCATCCCACTGTCAAGGTCTTATGCTGGGTGCAGTAAGGTCTGGAGAGGTTCTCTCTCCCACAGACACATTGTCTAGGGGCGATCGGGGATGTAGATAATAAGTAACTTACTTAGTACACTTCAACAGATGCTCAAAAAAGTGATAGGTTAAAGTAGTGAATATTTCTCAAATTTTACTGGAAGTACATTTAATGTCATAGTAGGAAAGATGTACCTTTTTCAGTAGTTGGGGACATAGTCCAAACTGGTTGCCTAAATAGAAAGAAGCATCAGATACAAGTTAATTTCCATGAATTCTAATTTATCTGTTAATATGTATTTGCCCATTAATCTTTCTTATCAATTGAACTGGGTTACAAGATTCCTGGAGAGGTAAGTATTTTTCTTACTGATGCTGTCCTGAAAATAGTACTTGGATACACAAATTAAATATGTTTAATATGAGAAATCTCTTGATGAGCTCATAACTGCACAGGCTGTTAGGAAGCGGGTCTTCCTTGGAGGTGTTGGCCTTGGTGGGGGCGGGGGGACTTGGGGTCTGTGTTGTCCCGTCCCCCCCCCCCCCGCCAGCTCCTCCCTTGCTCTCTTGCCCTGCCCTCTGATCCCTGGCTCTGTCCGTTAGCAGCTGTCCTCCGCCATGTCCTTTGGTTGTTGTTTCTGACTTGGACCAAGCTGGCCATGGACTGAAACTGCTGAGTCAGTTTGAGGAGCCAAGATGAACTCTCCCTCCTTCAGTTACGCCAGGTGTTTTGTGTCAGCGGTGGGAAGCTGACCAATACAACGTGTATCAGAGGAACAGGTAAAAACAGCACTGAAAACCTGAGTCGCTTCTCCCCTATTTTTGGGTAGAAGTTGTAGCATCTGGAAGCTATACTAAGAGGATGCATTGCTTTTAGAATTCTTGGTTCCATAAGGAATGTCATCATTTGTCATCTGTAAGTCAGCACATGCTTTACTTTGTTTAGAAAATTTAGGATAAAATAGGATTAATCTTTAAAGAGGCAATTTAACATTCTTTAAAAGAACTACAGGAAAGTATTGGTCTGTCAAGACTGGCTCTTCAGGTCCTAAGGATATTGCATCCCCTGGTCATGTAGGTACTCCTTTCTGGTTCAAGTTAGTTTCTTTGGCCGGAAATTTGATTGTGCAAATAATTTAAAAGACACACAGCAAGATTGATGAGCTTTAGTAGTCCAGTAAATAACAACTTAGTGTGGTGCTTTTCAGGGAAATTAAACTGGTCAAATCATGATTTCCAGAAGTATATCTGGCATAAGAAACCAAGAAAGGCAGGATGGCAAAAGGAAGTGAGTTGTAAGATTGTGCAGATGTGTAAGATAAAAACATAAGGTTACGCCAGATCCCTTTCAAAGGTGCTATCTTGGGTAGGTATTTTAGGTAATTGAGAAATGGGTTGCAACTAAGGCTAGAACACAGACTTTCTACTAGTGAGTAAAAGTTGTACCAGGAAGACCCATGAAGAGGATGCACAGTTTTCCTGTGAGAGGAAAGCCCTAAAAGCTCAGCAAGTAATGGGAAATGAATGATAGGACTGGGAAGGAGGTCACGGGTAGGCGGGGTGATCAGGAAGCCATGGCTAGCGTGAACAGGCCAGGGAGAGCTTTGGCAGTGTTGGGGCAGCGCAGTGTTTTGTAGTTAAAACAACATAAAAAGGCAACCACAGATGTGGTGTAACAAAGAGCACAAGTCTGGAGGTGTACAGGAGGTGGCTGAAGACTGATTCTTCTGTAAGGCGGAGTCTCGCAGAAAGATCCCAGGGCAGCCGCAGAGGCGAGGCTGCGGCAGCAGGAAGAGTCCAGAGGACCTGCGGTATGCCAGTGCTTCTTTAGCCTGTTTTCAAGCTTTCCCAGGTAGGAAGATGGGTTTGTTTTGTCTTTTGAACTTTCTGTTTGTAACTTGGGTTGTAGCAATGGCAGTCTCTGTGATTTTTAATTTTTAATTTTTATGGAATTTATAGTTTTATAGAAACTGGAAAAAATTCTGGCCGAGAATTGGTTCCTATTTGTTATTTTTAGACCAGGATCTTCTGAAACTGCTTGCCAAACATATATCACTTATGGGGTTACAGACTGTTTGGTCTTCACAAAAGGTCAGCATCAGTATTTTTTTCATTGAGACCCTCCCGAAAATAGTACTTTGATACAAAACTTAAGTATGTTTGCAATGAAACTTTTTATACTGTATTTGCCATCATAATAGTGTTATAACAGTCAACATGTGTTGAGAAGCCGTATCTCACGTCTGAGTTGTACCAGATACACTGTGCTAAACCAGTTTTGTGTAGTTCTCATGACGATCTTGCAAGGTGTTAGCTTCTTCCCAGTGTACAGAAGAACCCTGCGTTCCCAGGATCCAGTGCGCTTGGTCCAGACCGCAGCGTAGCAAGCTGGGTGGACGCGCAGCTCTGTGGGACCTTTGGGGACTCTTCACCTGTGCCGTGAGCAGAAGGTGGGTGCACACTGAGGAGCTTTTTTCTGCATCTGAGTGCCTTCGTCACATGAGACTATCACTGAAGAAAGATCTCTTACTTGTATGAGAATGATGTCTGTGTTCACTGTGAAAGGGGGGTGCAGAAATAAGATCCTAAGTATACGTCTGGTGTGGCAGTGACAAGATCGTGTCACACTAGGCTAACTCATTCTATACGTGCTCTTTAACTGTTAATGTCAAACAGCCATAATTTTTCTAGCCAATTAGACAAAACAGAATGTAGTCAAGTTGGCATTTTAAAACTTGGTTGAAGTGAAAGCCATAGAAGTTTTTAGTTGACAGATTCTCCTTTTGTTTTTCTTGTGTCATGCCACACCTAGCATTCCTTGCCTTCAACTTCTCCCCATCTAATAATCCAACCTTTTTAGTTTTGAGAGAACAGTAAAAACATAACTGCAGTTATGATAAACTAAGTCTGATTTGGTGGTTCCCTGACATACACTGCTGTGCACTATGCTGTGATTTCCTTTATTATTAAATTAAGGCTTAGACTTATACTCGTGTGTTCCAGTACTAGAAGCTTTTCTGTAATTTATCTATCATGGATTCTTATGAGCAGTTCGGTGTTAGTTATTGTCTCTGTCTCCTGTTTCCCTGTGTATTTCATGCAGTAAGGCAAATACAGATAAATATGTATCTAATCTCAAGATGTTTAAACCTTAGAACATTGTTCAGTTATTTTATGGTACTAGAAAATACATAATGTGCTGGGTGTGGTAGTGTGTACCTGTAATCCCAATACTTGGGGGGCAAAGACAGGAGGATTGACATGAATTCAAGGCCAACCTGGACTATGGTAGTAAGAGCCTTTCTCAGGAAAAAGAAAAGATACAATGCATGTGATTTTCCTTTAATTTTTTGTATTATATTTCATAAGTCTATGTAAATTTTCGCTAGATTCTTCCATCCTAAACACAGCTAATATTTTCCCATAATAGTCCAACTTAAATGGAGTCTTGCTATCCTAAAGTACATACTGCAGGGGAGGGAAGCAATAAACGTTATCTGAAGGCTAATCCCCTCAGTCCTAATATTTGTCAGTCTTTGGGATTTGTATGTGATAGGCCATAAAAAAGCATCGGATTTAGAAAACAGAAGACTGCAGGTTGGAGCGAGCTCTGTGACCACAGGCAAGTTAGCAGTTTTCAGAGCCATAGCAGTCCTGCCTTTGTGTGAGACCTAAGTTTATGAGAACTTTGAAATAATAAAACGTCGTACAAATGTGATTTCTATCTTTATTGTGCATCTTTAAAGCTTCTTATAAGTAGTAAAACATCATTATGTTGGAAGGGGATCACTCGTCTGTTAAAAGTGATTTAAAAAGCCACACTGAGGACTTGGAAGTATGAGAAGAAGGCAGGGAAGATGAAAACAGCAGTTGGGAGCCCAGAAATTTTGCTCTCTTTCAGAAGTTGATGATTTCAACAATTGAGCTCCTATGTTTAATGAATATTGTGCCGGATAAATGTTTGTGGTTTTTTTTTTTTTTTTTTTTTTTTTTACGGAACCGAGGATTGAACTCAGGCCCTTGCACTTGCCAGGGAAGCGCTTATTCTACTGAGCTATCTCCCCAGCCCCTTGGATAAGTGGGTAATGCTCATAAATGGTAGAGTTTCTCACCTTTGGTACATTATTTAAAATAATCTGGAAGAATTAGATTTACATGTAACTAAGATGTAAGTTAAAACAGAAAGTATCCCAAGAGTTACAACACATAGTAAGGCTGTTGGGAAGAAATCAGAGCATGGGTGAGATCGTAAAGAAGGGAGCACTTTGACTCTGGGACATGAGAAACAGTATCTCCCAAGTAGTGTGGTTCCAGTAAAAGCGCAGGTATGAGGCAGCCGACAGATGGTTTGGGGTAGTATCCAGTGCCCTAGTAGGAGACTTGGTAGGTGTGGTTGGCTCGTAGGTAATAGCAGCTATGAGGAATACACTGGACACGCTGCTGCCGTACTATGGCTGGCGTGTGGCTGCGTTCGTTATGTTCCTTTTTGTAGTGATTCCTCCCAGAAGCCTTCCCCACAGTCAGGCAGAACTTAGCATGGCTGCTTCTGCCCAAAAGGAGCGTGTGCAGAGCAGTATGGCAGCGTGCTGACGTAGGGCTTTGAGCTGGCTTCCTGGGTTGGGATTCTGACTCTGCTGTGATGTTGGATTTGCCACCCTCAGGAAATTACCCTTCTGTAACTTGGCTTCTTCATCTGTGAGATGAGAACGGTGATGCCTAGTTCTTTAGCTGTTGTGAAGAGGGGTTGATTTAGATGAAATGCTTGGTCCTTTTTCTGTGTTACTAACTTTTGTAGGATAATTTGTCAGTTGCCTTTTGAGGTTATTACCTGCTGCCTACCCCTACCAGACTGCACCCTATTTATTTATTTATTTATTTATTTGCAGAACTGGGGATTGAACTCAGGCCCTTGCGCTTGCCAGGGAAGTGCTTATTCCACTGAGCCATCTCCCCGGCCCCCAGACTGCACCCTTTTAGAGAGGGAAGAATCCATCCCGTTTTTACGTTTGCAGTCCTGTTGGTTCATATTGCCGACCATTTGCATGGTGGCATAAAGATTATAATTCTGCAATGTGTGTGTTTGAACATGGTGCTCCTGTGAGTCTGCACTCCAGGAAGGATCGCCTTATACCAGTGGAATAACTGGTTGTCCTTGTTCCCGTGCAAATATAGCTCATTTCCATAGCTAACATTGTAAAAGTAGATCCATCAACAGCTGTTAAGTCTATGTTCAAGAAAAGTTATAATTAAACATTTACCAGGTGTTTTGTATGCCTCCTGTGAAGTGAAATTTTAGTGTTTCATTAGCATCCCTAATCATGGATGCTACAGGTTAACTCTTTGATATAAACACGTTGTTAACAAATTAAAGGTCAGCATAATTTCTTCCAAGTTGTAATGTGAAAACACATGAAGGCAACTGGTTTGATTTGCTGGTTAGACTAAGGGGAAGTATGTGTGGTGTGGGTGGCCCTTGTGGTGTCTTTGTATGAGTGGCGTTGTACCCGTGAATGGATGTTATTTTTACATTTGGAGCTTAGGATATGACCTTGGTGTCTCCAACGAAGATTATGTGTTATTTGTCTTTATATTGGGTAAAAACAGACAACTCAGTCTAAGTGTGGTCCCGTTTGGCATGTTTTCCTTTTGTATTTAGAAGATGATTTTTATGTTCACTGTGGTGCTTAGAAACTTAATATATTTAATAAATGCAAGTTTTAAAGTCTGTCTTCTTATTGTGATATAAATCAACTTTTAAAAGAACTTAGAAACAGTGCATCTGTTTGAAGCATCTGATAGTCATTTAGAAACTTGGCTCCACAATTAGGGAGTAGTGTATTTCATGAGATTTTATTAAGTTATCTTTAGTATTGGGTTTGCAACCAGGGCTTTGCGCATGCTAAGAATACGCTCTTACTCTGAGCTTAGACCTCTAACTCATGTGATTTTTAAACTAGTGAAAGATGTTGCACTTCCAGCTTGGAATTGCACAGTCAGTACAAATGGAGCAAGATGTAAAAAATAGGGTGGATTTCTCATTTTATATGACTTAACCATGTTACCACCAGAAAACACGGGTGCTTTACCTTGATGATGATTTTGACCCCACGAGTACCTGGGCATTTGGAAAATGAGAAAAATCGAAGATGAACTTGGAAAGCACTTGAAGTTGACAGCATGTCATGTTTCAAACTTCCTTTCCATTTTCTTTTAAAATCTTGTCTCTCATACTTTGGAAAGGACTGTGAAGGGGTCATTCATGCGATGATTTCCATCCGTTGTTGCAGCAGACACTCAGCTCCTATGCAGGAGCATGGAAGGATGATACTGTCGTGGCTCGAGTGCTTACAGTACACCAAGAGAAAAGGTGAACCTGCTGTCAGTAGCCTATTTTTCTAAGCACTTTTCTCAGGTTATGTGTGGTTAACTGTGCTCCTTTCATGGTTGAACTTTTGCTTTTTCTTTTCTGATCTGATACTTGACATAGAAATAGCCCATGTGTACTGTGTGTGGGATGCCATTCCAAGTGATTCTTCTGTATTAACTTACTCTCCAAATGACCTTGAAAGATAAACTCTGTTCCCCTTACCAGATGAGGATGCTGAGGTGTGCAGAGGCTGTGGAACTTAACCAGGATACTGAGAGGCAGAGGTGGTTGTACAGCTTACCGGTTGTTATGATTATGCCATGTGTTATTAGTAGAAGAAAATTATCTGCCCCTGGAGCTTGTACTGTTTTTCTTGTTTGTTCTATTGAGAGACGGTCTCACTATGCAGTTCAGGCTGGCTTTGAACTCACTACATAGTCTGAACTGGACTTGAACCAATCTGAGTGCTGGGATTAAGGGTGTGT